CGGTTTTCGCCGCCGTGCGGGGGAGCGGAGCCGCTGCCGGAGGGTCTGAACTTCCCAGTGCTTGTTTGACACCATCTCGTATTTGGATGTTTCTTTTAATGGGGGGGGGGAATCATGAGGCTAATGAACCGGCCGGCTGCGTTAGCAGTCCGTGGTGTGTTTGGTGTGGCTGGAGTGACTCGGGTGTGAGCGAGGTCGTGTTTCCCTTCCGTGTGGCTGTGGGATGGGAATAACCCCTTCTCAGTAGCCGTGGTTTGTAACAGATAAGCCCCAAAGGGTCCAGACAAAGGCACTGGGAATGGGGCGCTGCACGGGGGCTGCTCTTCCAGTGTCCCGAGTCGGGCACGGGTGTGGGGGATTCGAGCTGTGCCCAGTGCCTTTGGCCTTATGCCTTGCAAAAGGTTCTTCTCATAGCTCGGTGCTCGGGGCTGCTCCTCGGGCAAACGTGTGGCTCTGCTACTCTCCCGTCATGGATTTGAGGTCGGGAGGTGTGCGGGCATGCTCAGCGAAGGACTTAGGTTAATTCAGCTGAAAAACGCACGGGCAGGGTCATGTTCATTGTGCAGAGAATCTCCTTCGAGGCGTTGTTACTCCGATTGTCTGCCCAGTGCCGTGGTCCTTGTCACCGGCAGTAGGGGGCTGGTGGCGTCCCGGTGCCACGGCCAGGCCTGTCAGCACAAGCTGCTTTCACGGAGGGGTTTGATGTTGGCCCCAAACTGCAGTGCCGGGGGGCGGGCATGTGCAGTGGTCTCCAGCACTGTATGAAGTGTTTCAGAGGGAGGTACCAAACATGGTTAAGTTTGCTTTCATGATCATAATTTCCTTCCTTCCTTTAGTCATGATATTGGAGTCAGAGTTCGTGCTTTCAACCCCAGATGGGACCTGCTCAGGTTACCTGTCTTGGCTGCAGCATCTCATAGGAATTGAATATGTGATGCAAATAAGTTGGCATTGCAAGGGAAAAGAGGGGCAGCCTTTATCTAAGGCTGCATTGGCTCCGTGCAGTTCCCTAATTATGTGATAAGCTGACTGAGAGCTTACGCCATGCACAGATGAATGAGAAGAGTGTGTGTAATTATCAAATAGATCTAGCAGAAGAGACAGGGGAAGGAGGGAGAGCAGAGCTGTGTGGTGAGTGGCAGCCTGCAATTAGATTAGATTTAATAAGATACTGTGAAATGATATGATTATATTATGTCCCTTCTTCCAAAGACAGTATTAGTGAAATCAGATTAATGAAATCAGACCACTTTCACTAATGGTTCTGAGCTGCATGTGGCTCAGCTGCTGACCCTTAAGATTCATGTGATTTACAAAAGTATCACGCATTTAGGGCACGGTTACGTGTGCTTTTTTAGGGGCAATTTTCTGGACTGTTTTTTGTCTTGTGTCCTGGTTACAGACAATTTAACAGATGTAACTGGCAAAAGAAGGTGGTAAGAAGTACTGTTGAGGCTTGCAAACAATTGTACTGGTTTGAAGCAAAGGTGTTAGGTGGTGACTAAGGTGGGATGAAGGAAGGTGGATTGAGAGTGGCTTTCGGCAGCTTTGCTGCTGACAAAGATTTCCATGAAACCAAGACTGTAACCTGCCACAGAGTATTCAAATTTTCCTCACTGTCACAGAAGACAGTACTTTGAACTTCGTAGTCTTCTGTTTTCTGTATTCTTTTGAATTTAAATGCAAAATAATAATAATAATAATCATCATGTTATACTGAACTCTTTGGGAATAGTTGCCGGTCTAGGTTGGTTGTCTTCTGTTCTTAAATTGAAACCATATGAACTGAATTTACCATGTTGCTGATTTCAGTTACTGAACTACTTTATTTTTTAGGTAACTATAGGCCGAGGATTAGATCTCACATACCAGCTGCTGTCCAAAACCTGTCCTTTGATGATCTCTCGTAAGCACTGTGTTTTCCAGCAAAATGCAGAAGGGCAGTGGACTGTCAAGGATAACAAGGTACAGAGATTAATTAAAACCTTGTACTCTGTGGTTTGCTAAAGAGAATGCCCTGTATGGACTGTGATATAGTATGGTACAAGTGGGATAGAAGGTTCATGGGCATGTCTCTTTCCTGCTGTGCACTTCCAGTAGGAAGCTTCAGTGTGCTGCAGTTATGTTGCTGACTCTACTGCTTTATGTAGATTTGTCTCTTTGTTTAGCATTTTTAAGACAATTGTAGTCTTGCCAAGGGCAATTTGAGGTCTGTGAACCTGTTTTGTGTCACTGTCTTAACAAAAAATTCTACGTCAGTATTCAAAAGATAAAGTTCCTGAGCTGCCAATAAAAGGATAAACTAATAGTCCTTATTGTAGTGACACAACTGCTTTAATTGTAAGCAGCTACAATTAGGATCTATTGTTAGAAGAAACATGCTTTGTGTTATGATCAAAGGAGTTTCTTCTGAAAGTCCTCCTAGCCTGATTAGAATTAAGTGTTGGCATCAGAGTCCTCAGCTATGCTTCACTTTGACTCCAGTAATCTGTTTTTTATGTCATGATCCCTCCAGATTTTCATTCAAGCTGAAAACTAAAATTGGTAACTTGCCTTAAAACAGCACTGGTAGAAAAATATGTTCAATATGTTGTGCAGATTTGAAGGATGTTTGGGTGAACAGATTAGTTAGAAGAAATGGAACGGCTACTGTTCAAATTGCACTGCTGTTTAACAAAACTCTGTTTCAGTACTTGTATAAACTTGAAAAAAAAAAGTTTTTGCAAGACTGGAAGCATCTATGGTAGATGAGCTATGAACTCTTCCTCTGTGTTACTGCTGCTACCATTTCATCAAGTTGTTTTATTGAATCTCTTTGAAATGTGTCAGTTGTTAATGATTCTGCAGTTCATCTTGAGCACAGATCAGTTTTGCTGGTTTTCAAAATTGTTTCTTGAGATAGTGTCTAAGTAAAAAACCCCTTTTTTTGCTTTAAACGTTATCTCTGTAAGAACTTTTTCCTTCGTGTTTATTTTCTCCCTGTATTTATAGAGATCTGTCTCTTTTTTCTTTAAGTGGTATGAGGTATGCTCCTTTTTCTTCTCTAATTTCTTCTTGAATGTCAGGTGACATGAATTGTCAATAATAATTACTCTGATATTCTGTATTTTTGGCAATGATCTATTGTGGAGTCTTTTCTTTCTCTTGGTTAGTTCTTGTTTCCTCTAAAGCTTTTGGGCAGTTTTTTTCCCCTTAGTATTATTTTTTTGCCATCTGCACAAACACATATATTAATGTTGTTCTTAGTGCCTGCACACAAAATCTATAATGCAGGAATAATACATTAGAAATAATATAATGCAAGAACTGTAATAAATGGGACACTAAGCAAATAAATAGGATATTGCAAGGTTTATTTCAAGAGGTGACTTGTTCTGATTGCAACACCGAAGAGGCTGGATATGTTTACAGTTGCCAGAAATAACTTGCAGAGCACTCTGTAACTGCATATTAAATTTTGCTGATTCTCTGTTCGTTTGCAGAGTCTAAATGGAGTCTGGCTTAACAAACAGCGTCTGGATCCCTCCAAAGCCTATCCTATTGCTGAAGGAGACCGTATCCAACTGGGAGTGCCTTTGGAAAACAGAGAGGCTGCTGAATATGAGTATGAAGTAATCAAAGAGGAATGGGAGAAAATCAGACCCTTTTTAGCCCAAAGAAGTGACCTGGGAAAAGCTAGGAGTTCAAGAACGAAACGTAAGTTTAATTCAGAGGAATTGGAGACATCTGGATCAGAAGGCCCTTCAGACTCCAGATCCAAAAGAGACAGAGTATCTTGTGACAATTACCCTTTGGGTAAATCATCAGGTAGGGCTGAAGAGGCCAAACAGTTAACAGAGAACGTGGATATCAAGCTGCCTCCTCCTGGACCCAGTGAGGAGGAGGTCAGTGATCCAGTGCTTAATAGCCCTGTGTGCTCTGAGAAAGCAGTGTCTGTCGTCCGTAAGGACCAGAAAGGCTCTGGTCTTGCACAGTCATGGAATGGGTTGGAAATGCTGAAGAAGACATTGGCAGATATAATGAAGTTAAAGGTCAAAGTGCAGGAGAAGCAGACAGCAGTGCTGAATGTGAAGCAGAAGCGCAGGAAGTGTGCGCAGAAGGACATCCTGGCGATGGAGCAGGAGCTGCAGGAGTTGCAGAGCCAGCTTTGCACAGAACAAGAGCATCAGCAGCAGCAGGTGGAAGAGCTGGAGAGGACGTTCTCTAAAGAGCAGCAGAAGCTGGAGGTACAATGGTGGTAATCTTTTTAGCCTGTGTCTTTTCATGCCCAGGTGTATGGAATGCCTAATATAAGGCATTTATCCAAAGTAAGACTTTGGAACCATCCAGTAACACAAATAATATTTGTGTGAATTACTCCTGTTAAAATTGTGAAGTATTTAACTTCCAGGTATGTGTGCCAAAATAAAGTGCAGAGACAGAAGGGATTGGGCTGCATGAGGAATTAGGAAAAAGGCACAAAATAAATGCTACATTTTTATTATTTCTTTTTACAAACTGGTTCATGACAGCAAGATAGTAAAGCATTTCAGTTAGTAAAAAAGCATGGTTTTAAATTAAAAAACCCAGAATATCTGCCTGATCTCCTGTGGTTACAGTGAGGACAAATTGAAAACTATTCGTCTTAAGTGTAAATTTCTCTCAGTATGTGGCTGAATTAATACCCAGTTTGAATGGCAAATCTGTTCTCTTTCCAAGCAAGTGAATTATTGTATGCCTTAGTCCCTTGAGGGATTGAGATTTTTTCATACTTTCTAAAAAACCCTCCTTGCAATATGTGTCTTCAAGCAGTACATGTATGTTGGTAGATAGCTTTTTTTAGATAACAAATGGATATCTTTCTCTTTGGGTTTGCTCAAAATCCCATTTAAAGGAAGTAAGACTTCATCTTGGAGTGAGTTTCATAATTTATCAGTTACTTCTTTGAAGTCTGCTGCTAAAGGCAAGATACCTTTATCAGAAGTACAGGAAGTCTGGAGCTGTGTGCTTAGGTACAAGAGGAAGTTCAGCTGGAGCTGTAGGTACGTCTGACCTCTTTGAATGTACTCAAAGACAGAGTTGCAGCTTTTTCTCATCTTTAAGCTGTTACTGACCTCTGCTTATATGCTGTTGCCTTTATTGCTAGAATGAAGGGGAGGTGTTCAAACATGTAACTGTGAATTATATATTGATTTTAACTCTTCATTGTAAATTATAGCTCTACTTTCTGTAATACATATGTAACACTAGAATGGGACATCTCAGAATTTGCTGAAAACCAGTGTTATTTCTTTAAGCAAATCCTTTAAAGAGATTGTGCAAAGAAGTAATTTTATGTCCCTTGTGTTCTTCAAGTCTATTTTTTTCCCCCCTCCCCTCCAGGGAGTAAAGGGCCAACATGGGGAAGAGAATCTGAAGGAGCAGCTAGCCCAGGTCCTGCAGGAGGCAAGTATTTCTGAGTCTTAAGTTTGGTCTAACAGTTGTAACTCAGATCTTCAAAATTCTTTTACTGCTGTGGCATCTTGGCAGAAGATGAGGACTTTGCCTTGGGTACAAATTGGATGATTTTCCTCTACAGATCAAATTTCTGTCAGAAAGTGGCATACCTTGCTTCATGGGAGTGACTGTTTGCCAGCAAATACTGTGCAAATGTGCACTCAGATTGAAAGCATTAAGTAGCTGCAATTATGTATATTTTTAGTTTGATTTTTGTGCTTAGGCTGGTAGTCTTTTTTTCGTGAGGTCCATGTGCTGGTTATCTGTTTTGGGGAAGTCTTTTTTCAGTTTAAATCAGGTGAAAAAAAATTCACTCTTGGTTAGGAATGTCTTGGAAAGAGATTGCTACACACTTGGATGTACTGGGCTTTTTCCATAAAGACCTCTCCTTTGGAAGGCTAATCTAGCTTCAGGTAACCCTGGACACATTGATCCTATGAATCAACTTCGCCTTGATACTCAAATGTCTCAGGTGTACTGAAAATATTGACAGTAAAACCTAACTGGAATGAAAGCTTAATCCATGGAAGGGAATGAGAACTGCCATTGGCACTGGAAAGGTCATAGATAACTGGCTCCACATTCCAATTTTAAGATCAGGCTAAACTGCCTTAATATCCCAACTTGTAGAGACGTGTTGCTCTTTTAGAAGATTAGGAGAAACTAGTATGCTGAAACTCATTATTATGGCCATGTATATTGAATAGGATAGCTTTTACTGGCACTCTTTATAATTTCTGGGATGGTATTGTTACAGCATCGTGCTTTGATGGAAGAACTGAGCCGTAGTAAGAAAGATTTTGAGGAGATAATTCGAGCCAAGAATAAAGAGCTGGAAGAAACCAAGGTGAGGAATAACTGGATTCTCAGTTTTATTCATAAGTGAAACATGATATGCTGCAGCAGAGGTAATGAATTGTTGAATGTTTGTCTTGACTGTGCTTTGCCTCCCATAGTGGAAAAACTCCTGTGTTTTGAGGTGGCATCTGACTCCAGTTTCCAGGATTGGGGGGGGATACAACTTCCCCTTTTCCTAAGTTAGTGTTGAATGGTCATTACTGGATGTTCTCAGTCATGAATCCCAGGGTACCTGAACTGTGTGTTGTGCAGGAAGATATGGTGTATTTGAAATGTCAGGTACTTTGTTTTCAGTTAGAGCGTGCAGTGTTCCAGCAGTCCTACAAGAAAGTGTAGGACTGAAACAGCATGGAATTGGAATAATGAATGAGGTAAGCCACACTGCTTCCTGCCTTTGACACAAGATAGTAAGTAGAAAATAATTTAAGAGATCCTTTCCTCTGTCTTGCTCCTGGAAGCTATCACATTATCCACCTCTGGCTGTTTGCTTTATGGTAGGTCTTTTTATTTTATTTTTTTATTGTTTTTGCAACTCTTGCTATTTCAAGTATAGCTTCATTTGGAAGAATTAACAGAATTACAGAGTTGTCAGAGTTGGAAGGGACCTTTAGAGATTGTCTAGTCCCACTCCCTCACTAAAGCAGAATTGCCTAGAGCTCTTCTCTCAGGACTGCACCCAGGAGGGTTTTGAATATCTCTGGAGAAGGGGTCTCCACAACCTCCCTGGGCAGCTTGTTCCAGCGCTTTGTCACCCCCATAGTAAAGAAGTTTCTTCTCGTATTTAAATGGCACTTCCTATGTTCCAGCTTGTGCCTGTTGCCCCTTGTCCTGTCACTGGGCACTACTGAAAAGAGTCTGGCTCCATCCTCCCTGCACCCACCCTTTAGATACTCATAGGCCTTAATAAGGTCTCCCCTCAGCCTTCTCTTCTCCAGGCTAAAGAGTCCCAGCTCTCTCAGCCTTTCTTCATAAGCGAGATGCTCCAATCCCCCAATCCTTGTTGCCCTCTGCTGGGCTTTCTCCAGTAGCTCCCTGTCTCTCTTGACCTGGGGAGCCCAGAACTGGACACAGTATTCTAATTGTGGCCTCACCAGGACAGAGTAGAGGGGGAGAATGACCTCTCTTGACCTGCCGGCCACACTTTTCCCTATGCACCCCAGGATTCCACTGGCCTTCTTGGTGGCAAGGGCACATTGCTGGCTCATGGAGAATTTACTGTCTACCAGGACTGGCAGATTCTTCTCCTCAGAACTGCTTTCCAGCAGATCCACCCCTAACCTTTCTCGGTTATTTTAAGACAATACAGCAGGTACCAAGGTAATGGCTGCTGTTCTTACTTGTAAGTTCTCTCCAATGAGTGACAATATTCTAAGTACTGCTGTGACTACAAGGAGTAGAGAGGTTACAGGTCTGCATGTACAATAGGCACATTGTACATGGAGACTTGCAATGGTATGATTTTCTACTTGTACTGTCTTCCCCTGCACAAGCACTTCCTGACAATATTATAATGAGTAAAACCTTGTTCTCGGTTGATATGTGGCCATTTGTACTTTTCCACTAGGAGGAGAAGGAAAAAGTGAGAGCCCAGAAAGAAGAGGTGTTGAATCAGATGAATGACGTGTTGGAGAATGAGTTGCAGTGCACAATCTGTTCTGAGCACTTTATTGAGGTATGTTTAAACTGGTATGGGTTTGCCAGTAAAGAGACTTGAGCAATTCCCTAGTTCTATTAAAGCAAAACTCAAGCTTATTTCTTTGCTACTGTAGTTTAACAGCCCCAGCAGACCCACAGGGAGTTGTGGGCGTGGGTTGGTCCAGAAGTTCATTCTGTGTGCCCTGACTATTCTCCTGGGCAGCAAATGCAGCTTTAATGTCTCTACCTGCATGGAGAGGAGTGGTTAATCCTAAAATGTGTATAGGCTTGCAGCAGTTTTGGGTGTTTTTGAACCGGTGTTCTGAGCTGCTGCTGACAGCCTGCTTGAGGAAGAATCACATTATAATGGACCTTGCAAAGGCTGACTAGGATTGGAAAGCTTCAGGTTCAGATATAGGAAAAGGTTAGTAAAGGACGGGAGGTGCAGTGTTCAGTTGAGTCCTGAACCACTCATATTGTTCAGGTCAGCCCCTGCTGTTTTTGATTCTAGAAGTAATAGGCTATGCCTGAAATGTAGACTTATTTCTGTTCTCGTTTTGCTAGAACTTCAGTTTCATTCCATTCCTTTCTACTACAGGAAGCCTTGTGTTATAATGACTATATTATATATAGTCATTATATATATATGTTATATATATAATAATATATAATATTATTCTTAATATATGTTATATATTAAGACCGAGATTAATTTTTCATTTCTGGTTTCTCAGTAATTTATGATGCTATTCTGCAGTATCTGAGTTTTCCCATAGTTTACCCTTTTCAGTTTTCAGAAACTTACAATAGAATTAATGATTTTTGTCTGAGTTTCACTGTACGATCTACAGTGAATCCCTTAACCAGCTTGTAAAACTTGTCTGCACTCTGGCATGGGAGAGATTTTGTTTGCAACCCAGACAAAGGCTAAAGAAAAGGGGCTTTGTGCTTCTCCTCCTCTTTCTCTTATGGTCTTCATCTGATGCTTTTCTGACCTGAGCATTTTTTTTTCTCAACAAGAAGCACACATGAGCATGCTCTGACAAGTATCCTTCCCTCAAATTCCACAGGCAGTCACTCTGAACTGTGCACACAGCTTCTGCTCCTACTGTATCAACGAGTGGACAAAACGTAAAGTGGAGTGCCCTATCTGCAGGCAGGAGATCAAATCAAAGACACGCTCTCTGGTCCTAGATAACTGCATTGACAGGATGGTAGAAAAACTGGACATGGAAACGAAAAGGCATCGCCTGACCCTTATCAGAGAGCGGAAAGGTGAGAGGTGGGTGGATGTGGCATGTTAAGCACAATCTCTCATTCCTTCTATTTTGTACAATTTCTGTGGCACCTATATACCAAGGAGATGCTCAGGGAATGCAGGAGAAACACTGGAAAACCAATTTTAAGGTATGTTGTGTAATTAGCTTTACTGCACAGTAAAAGAAAATTAATAAAAGAGTTTGGAGAAAGCCTTCTGTAGGAAATGCACAGTCGAGTGGGACAACTGAACTGTACTAAAGCTTTGGCTGTTTCAAAGAGATCACTAAAAAGCAAACCTACATAGAATGAGCCTTGAAAAATTTACCAGAGACCTTTTGATTAAACTATTGACTACATCATAATGAAAACTCAGCAGAGCAGTGCCTGATGAAAAGCTCTGAATTCTCTTCTATGTGCTAGATTTGTGTAGGACATCTCTGAAGAGAACATTGGTGTGTCATGTAAAACTATGGCTGAACTGGCAGTTGCTCTGCCATCGCAGTTTTTGTGGAATTAAAGCCACTATGGCTTAAATGCATAACTTCTTGTCTAGAGGTATCTAAAAGATTGTGCATGACAGCAGCAGCTTTAAGTGAAACACCAGTGTGGAGTATTTCTATAATGCTTCCCTCTTCCAAACTTGTTTCTAGAGCACTTGACCTTCGTATCTAGGTGCTGAAATTTAGAAGCCTTTTTCTGCTCCCCCTTAAATTTCTATTGCTGTGTTCCATTAAGTAGTTGTCTTGTTTCCCCCTTGTAGAGGTGAGTGCATGATCCTTCATTTTGCAATGTGTCAAGCCTCTTACCTAAAGAAAAGTGCTTTTGAAACATTTCAGATTCTCCATGGTGACACAGGATGACATGGCTAAGTGGTATGAATTCAGACCTGAATTTGCCCCTTATTTAACCAGCTCAGTCTGATTCCCTCAGGAAGTGCTACACTGCTCAGAGGCTGCCCAGTTTGTTTTTTTGCATCACTTTCACCTCTGCAGAAGTGATGTTGCTCTGGTGTAATGCAGTGTGCACCAAAGAGCTATTGAAGAGTCTCATCAGAGAATTGATGGGGAGTAGATGAAGTGGTGTTTTGTTGGAGCCCACTTCATCTCCATGTGGGAAGACAGCGGTCTTCCTGGTTTGAGCAAAAAGGAAATGAGATCATAGCCTAACTTCTTCACATGTGATAGATGCTCTGAGTAAATAAAATGATGATTAGTAGGAAATCATTTAGCTTCACCATGACACACTTGAGGAATTGTTTCTTTTTTTGTGCAGTCTTTTTATTCCTGGATGGAAACATGTTGATGAAGATAACAATATGTCTAGTTAAACACTAATTCCTAAGAAGGAATTTTCTGAAAGAGGAATAATGATGCAGGTGGCATTTGACAAGCTCAATCAGAGCTTCCCAAGAAGCTTTTCCAAGACTTGTAGTATAATGGGCACCAATAGGACCGTTTGTGCTCCTAAATGGCTGGAGGTTTTGGTGGGGCCATCAGTGAGTGCCCTGAACACCCTGTTTGATGGCTTTTCACCACATACTGTTCCTTCCCTCTGTCTTACCTGGCAAGTCACTGTGGTAGTTAGCCACTTCTAGTGCCAGTTGTGTGCCAGTGAAGGGTTGGAGAATGTCACCTTCTCATCTGTGCTATCTTGACAAGAAAAGGTATAATGGAGACTTAGAAAATGAAAAAAGCCTGTTGATTCTTGCTGAAAACTGAAAAGACCTGCGCCCTGCAGAGTGAAAAACCTATTGTGAACTGACAGTCAGAGGCTACAAGTTTCAAAGAGAACTAGTAATTTAGCAGCATTTGTGGGTGCAGTGGTCACTGCTAACTTTGGTATCTATGTGTTTTGAATGCAGAGAAACGGAATGTGTTGGTGAACCCAGCCACGGACAGTGACAGCAGTGTCATTTCTTCTGCTTACTCCATCTTGTTGTTGAGCAGTTGTGACAGTGAAGACCCTGAAGAGGATTCTTACTACCGTGAAAGCTACTACATTATCTAAACACTGTTATTGTCAACTCGTTTGCCTGTGTGCTTCCCAGAACCACCCTAATGGTGTTTGGTTGACTGCTGCTGGATGAATGGACTGGACATCTGGAAGGAGAGGTGTACTGTGAAGATGCTGGAGCTAAGAAGCAACAGCATTTGGAAGAAGGACTTTATTTTTTAAGTGAATGTACAGAAACTTGATCTCTAAACCAAAACTGGGATTGTGAGACAAAAAATTGCCCTTACACTAAATGATTGACATTCAAGCTAGGCTTCCATGACCACTCATGACCTGCTCAGTGTCATGTAGTAGTATGGATCACTGCCCTTCCCTTAGAGAATGACATGTTTAAATGTGTGCATTAGCTTCTCTTATTTCAAGCAACAGAGGGAATGGCTCAAGCTATTTGAGAACTTGACTGTCCTCACCAGCAGGCAGGAGAGGTGTGTCAGGAGGAAGAGACTCCTTGTGTTTTCCTCTTGAATTTCAGGTGTCAGCTGGAGTCATCCCAGGCCCCTGGCAGTAAAGGTAACAAAGCATGGGTTATGGACCCTGTCAGCTTTAAGTGCTTAAAGGCAGTGAAGCTGAGCTTTTGGCCATCGATTTGCTCTGCTGATGTTTCTCATTTTCTGTTAGATAAGAATGGAGAAGATTAAATCCTTCCAGAATTCGTTAGCTAATGCTCTTTTTATGTAGTGTATTTAGTTTGTTCCTTCTTCGGGCTTTTGCATAAAGACTTTCAGAACTGGGAAGCAGCACATCCAGAAGTTACTAGCAATGACTTCAGAAACTCATAATAGTTCTTGTCAGCAGCAGAGAGGAACCTCTGCCTCTTCAGAAGTGCTGCTATCTGAATTAATGAAATATCCTGTTGGCAGGGTAGGAAAGCAGTATCTGTAGGCAACCAAAAGGTACAGAGGGAAGCATTTAGTGTTATTGTTTACAAAACATTCAGCCGTGGGCTGTACTACCTTCGCAGCAAATCACTCATCCCTAAGAGACTGAGCAAGTCTTGCCTCATCTTGTAATGAATTTGAGAATTTCCATTTTCAGTGGCATATGCTTTTGACTTAGCTGTTACATGGAAAGGACTTTCTTACACTGTGAGAAGAGGATGGGGGAAGCCTTTCTCATCTCTAATATTTCTTTAGCCATTTGTATGTACTTCCTTGTTTCTATGTTTATTTTGTGTAAGAAGCAAAATGTTAATGCAGAAATGGATTTGTCTTCCTTGGTGCAACCACTGAGAGGAATATCTTTCTCCTAGTTGTCTTAGATTTTTTTGAGAAAACACAAACTATCTCATTTTAATGACTTTGTTTGCTTCATGTTTTGATTGCTGTAAGCACTGTGACTGTTACAAAGTTCTTTGAAAGACCTATGTATTCAGGAATTGAGAGAAGACAGCTCAACTCTTCAGGCCTGTGGCTTTCCTAATAGTAATTTTGTAGTTACAGTCGTACCTCTTGCCTTGTTCCACTCAAGAAAGATGCCCTTAAAAAGGTGTGTGAACGATGCTGCTGTTCTAAGGAAACTGTGTGTGCTGACAGAGTGAATGTGTAGCACTTAAAAACGGGAGACAGGTCTAATTTGTGGGCTGCACAACTTATTTAAAGTCTTAGTGTAAGGTTGTGAAGGAGTCATTGCATCTTGAGTTTTCCTCTTTCCGTTTTCTGTATGTGCTCTTGAAAGTTTCTTCTGTGAATATGCCCTCTCTAGGGTGTCTGAGAGAATAAGGTTCCACAAAAGGCTTGTGAAATAGGCTGACATTAGAAGAGTTGTTCCTGATGCACAGGAGTAGGAGGAAAATACTTTGGTTACCTAGGAGTGCAAATTCCTCTACTGTGTACCTCTGTTATTGCTGTGCTTTTTTTGCCTGTTTCATTTGACTAAATACATCTATTTTGCTACGTTGGTGTTAATGCATATTGCAAAGAAGGGTAATGCTCCTCCTAGTACAGAGTTGTTCTTTGGGGTGATTTCTGAGTGTGTCCTCTTTTCATGGGAATATGAAGAACAAGAGCAGTGGTACCAAACGATTTCCATGGTTACTGGTAGGTGCTTGGTGTGTAAAGGTCCAATCAGAGAGGTGAAGGGATAGCACTCTTAACTTACAGCAGTATTTCTCTAACAAAAAACAGACCTCTCCTCCCAGGTCGCCATGGGCCTCAGTAAAACTGCTGTCAGGTACAGAGCTGGTAATGACACACAGAAGTGTCAGGAGAACTAGTGAGCTGCTGGAAGAGATGCCCTTATTTCTAATACTATGCCTTTCTTTGGTCTGAAGTCTGGATCCTTCCTTCTACTACATCTGAAATGTCCCCTGGGAATGTTATGCCCTGAACTCATGTTCACTGTCTTGGCACAGCATCCAGTGCTTCCAGTCAGGCACCCAGGATTTACCCAGTGATACCTCTGTGCTGCTCACACCAGTACACAGCAGGCTTGATACAGGCTTGCTGCTCTGTTAGGGAGTGTGATAAACACTTCCAGAGCAGTATGTTGTTTATCAGCATCAGTAGGGATAGCTGTGGAGGACCACTAATGGATTGCAGAAGGGGACCATGGAAGTGGTGAGTAACTCCTGCAGATCTGCGGGTTCCAAGAGATCAGCTGACAATCACTTTTCTCTTGCACATGTAATCTACCACGTTAGTGCTTGGTGAGCCTGTCAATCCAGTTTTGCAGAATATGTAACAGGCAATTTATTAATCCAGCTGTGATTGTTTGTTTTTCCCAGAGATACACTTCAAATAGTCCATGTTCTGTTCTGTTCACTCGTGCTGGTCCCTTTTGCTGCAACATAACCTGTTTAGACACATACCTTTACACCTGGAACACCACATCCAGTTCTGGAGCCCCCAGGACAAGAAGGACACGGACCTGTTGGAACAAGTCCAGAGGAGGGGCAGGAAGGTGATCAGAGGGCTGGAGGACCTGTGGAGAGAGGCTCAGGGAGTTGGGGTCGTTCAGCCTGGAGAAGAGAAGGCTCCGGGAGACGTGAAGTACACGAAGGGGCTACAGGGGAGCCGGGGTGGGGTTTTAACAAGGGCTTGCAGCAGTAGGATGTGGGGGAGTGGCTTTAACTTGGAGGAGGGGAGATGTTGGTTAGACATGGGGAAGAAGTGATCTAGTGTGAGGGTGGTGAGGCGCTGGCACAGGTTGCACAGGATGCTTCCTCCTTGGGAGTGTTCAATGCCAGCCTGGATGGAGCTTTGAGCAGCCCGGTCTAGCGCGGGTGGGGGTTGGAACTGGGTGACCTTTCAGGCCTCTGTGCTGTGGGCTCTGCGACAAGCTCAGAGAGCGCAGCCCGGTCCCCCGGCGCCCGAGCTGCGGACGCAGCACAGGACGGCTCGGCCAGCGCTGGCAGCTCTGGGCTCTGACCGCGCCCCGCGCGCGGGGACCGCCC